CAATGTTTTAGACAAAGTGTACAGTTTGGACATGTTGTACAAGTGTACAAATATGAAATGAGACATGCTGGATTGTACTATGTCTCAAATATTCATATTTTATGCTACTGTTACCAAATTTGAACTGGTAATAGTTGGGAATTAATATTTTAGCCCATTAAATATTGTTTATTGATATCTCATTCCCTTCATGTTCTGTGATAATTTATTAATATAAAAATAAAAAATTTAGGGAGAAAAAAATCTTGATTTTTGTGTATATTACTTCAATATATGTAATACTAGTTACAGTTACAAAAAATATGACTGCTGAAGTTAAAAATTCAGATTATTAGCTTTAAAAAGAGACCAAGTTTGTGAATTTACTCTAAAGCGTTCAAAAACAGTACTTCGTTTAATTTGTGTGTACTTTTTAAGGCGTTTTATTGTATTTTAAGCCCGAATGTTAACTGGTTATTAGACGGCCAAAAGTCGTTGCTGTAATGATTCCATCCAAACCAAGGCATGCTGCGTTCAAGACTTGTCTGGACATGTTTGGTTGTTGGACTTTCTCAAAGTAAAATTAATTGGTAAAAGATAGATATTACAAGGGACTTGATTGTATATATGAATGAAATTGTCAGTTATTGTTATTGTTATCTGAAGCTACATGAGTACAAATGGGCAACAAAGCAAAAAACGCAACTGATTATGTTATTTACAACATGTACTTAAATGCTTCACGGCACCGACTTGAATATGAGCTCGTTCCTTGCTCTGTGATTGGACAACTCACCGTCGGTTCTGAAAGCCTCATGTCTAAGCCAGCCAATCAGGTGGCGTGTTGTTGGTCAGTGCCCCAGTTCGCCGGTCGGGTTGCAGTTTGAGGGGAAAAAAGGGGAAAGCTTCTGGCGGAGGAAGAATCTGCGGTGCGGAGAGATGAACCCCAGGGATAATGTCGAGACAGGAGAGACTGAAAATCAGCCGGAGAGCTTCTGCGTGCCGATTCCAGATGAAGGGCCGTGTAAGAAGGAGCAGGAGAAGCTGTCAGGGGTCGTCAAAAACGTCCACAGGAAGCTGCGCAGAAAATACAGAGAGGGTAAGAAGAATCTGGTCTGTGTGGCCCTGCTGCAGCTTTAGTGACCAACACCAGCAGAACCTCAGCTAACTCGTACTAAACATCAAATGATGCTAATACAGTAAACTGATTTGGTTGATTCTGCTGTTTAGGCGAGCTGCCTGGCTGCTAATGTTAGCAGAACAGCAGCCAACAACAGGAAAAGCAGCAAGGCCTTGAAAGCTCTGAAGATTACTGGCATTAAAGCTGTTATTTTTGTAAACATGTTTTAAATACATTTTGGTAGACACCCATTGAGTTACAGTAAAATAACACACATACCTGCGTGGATGCAGCAAACAGATTTACAACCAAGTCACCTTTATTACCCTTTTGCTGTTTATCAAGTTGATTACAAAAGTGAACTGATATCTCAGATATGTGATGATGTGACTCACTGATGCATTTTTTTTTAGATAATTTGTTTACAGACAAACTGGAAACCATCTTTGTTCAGAAGCTTGTTTCATGTTAAACTGCAAGAACAGTCTGAAAGTAGAGGTGGGCATTTGTACTCTGCGCTGTGTCAGTAATACTTTTGTTAATAAGTTTGTTTCTAGTATGTTGTGATTGTTGGTGTTTCATGTGTGATTTTATTGTAATTATTTTATACATGGTGTTTTCTGTTTTTTAACCAAACTGGAGGGTAGTGTTATTATGCAAAATCACATTTTTAAAATCTTTGTCATTCCCTCATCAAAAACATAACCAGTGTTGCTTTGACTCATTTCTGCATGTTTGAGAAATGCTTGAATATCCTGTAGTAATGTGAAGCTGCCATAAACACTTGCTGGTACAAAGCATTGCCTATTTGTACTAGGGTTGGGCATAATCGTATCGTGTGCAATTATTCGTCAGAAAAACATTAATCGATTACTTTTTGGCACTTGACGATTAATACGATTAATGCCACCAGGCAGACTGACTGGATAGTTCCCTGGTCAGTCCGCTTGGTGCTCCTCTCCGCTTCAAATATGATGAACATTTAAACAAAAGTTCTGTAATTTATTTATCTATCAACACAATTTAAAATTTGAAGTATAGCCTGAAGTCTGATTTTGACACAATTTGGAAAAGATTTTTATGAAGAGCAAATCTTTCCCACTAAATAGGTCATATGACTAGGACATAAGGGTGTCCGGGGACTCCAGAGGATTAATCGTCAAATTAATCGTTATCGGCTAAATACCACAATTAATCGTGATTAATTCTTTTGCCAGTATCGCCCAATCCTAATTTGTACTTCCTCCCTGGAGCTCAGTCTCCAGCCAAACTCCTGCTCCACAGAGTACCCCTCTTCTGAAGCATTGCTGGGATGCTTTGTTGTAGTGGAAGTGTCAGGAATGGTAGGAGTTTTTTAAAGCGGCAATACCATTTAAAATCAACTTTTTTGATATATGTTATAATGTTATCCTCTCATCAAAAACATGCCCAGAGTCTTGCTTTGACTCATTCATGCATGTTTGAGAAATCCTGTAGTGTCCTGAGGCAGCCAGGCTGGAGAGCGAAAATGACCGGTTGGGTCTAGAACCGCCTTTTAGGATCAGCTCCTCCTCTGGGCTGTGTTTCCAAACTGAACTTCCTCATCACAGAGCACACCTCCCCCCACCACGCGCCCCGTGACTCCTGCAGGCTCTCCGCAGCAACAAAGTAAACACCTGGTGAAAAACATGTCTGCTGAGCTCCTACTACTTCTCAGTCCAGCCCATTTTCAGATTAAAAAATACCTTTGAGGAAATGTATTTTCAGATGCCAAGGAAACTACACCGAACTTCCTCATCACACCTTTCAGCAAGTAGGTGTGCAGTCTCCACCGTTC